AAATTATTGTTTAATGGAGTCGTTGACCAGTCCGCCCAGTTGAAGACACACTGAAATAAATACGTTCAATCTTTAAATAAAGTTTTTAAGAGACTTGTTAAAGTCGCCTACTATTTAACTTTTATAGAGTATTCGATTATAGCATTGGAGTTATTATTTCGTTACTGAGACTGGGCCGACTGCACCTCACACGAGTAATACGTACGCAGAGACGTGTTCCCACACTGAGCTCCCGTACTTATTAGCTAGCCATTGAAATGTTTATTCTCATATATTGTTATAGTTCGCCAAAGATTTGTAAAGAATAAATAAATAAAGAGTGTTATGATCACTTTTGAAACGTCGCTAGTTAATCGTTCATTTTTAATTTTTATATTTATGAACTTTTATTATTATTATTAGTGTAGTATAAACGGACAAATTATTAGCAAATTGTGGAATATGTTCAATGTTCATAGATACAAGTTAATTATGAAACTAATACAATAATGATTCGCCTACTTTGCATGTCTTAATTTAGTTATTGGACTTTTAAACCTATTATCGAGTTATTAATATGTATATTGCTGAAATATTTTAAAAACTAAATTACTATTCAATTATTTATTATTATACACTTATTACGTTTAGTATGCTAGAAATATGATGAAGGATAATAAATAATTTTAATTATATTACGGTGTGTGTTTCATTTATTTATTTATACATAAGTACAATAAATACATAAGGTATTGTGTTCCTAAAATGTACAGATTTATAATCAGGTACAAGGATTTAGAAACTACAAAATATATTGTGACAGGCAAATTATACAAAAATACATCAAATATAATAAATTAGGTAATTCATCGGTCGAGTAATCGTTATAGGTACCCAATATCGAATCCGAGATTTTATTACATAACAGAGAAAAAAGATTTAGCTCTATGAAATGTACACATGTAAGGTATAGCTATGTATGTAATGTCAGTATCCCTTTTATATCAACCAATTTTGTACAATGGTCCAATATTTAACAATACTAAGAACTAACTTAATAGGTCCTAACTTACCTAACTGATAAATTTAACTAAGAAATAGTACAAACTAATTAATTTCATTCACATTTTTATCCAACAGTTACTCCGTGGTACCGGAGACTGAAAAACAACAGCTAAATAATTATTACTAGCAATGCTATTGAGTTCACAACTCGTCTTACAGTACAGTAATCTAATAAGGTTAAAATAGAAGCTATTCAAAATAAGGCAGTTTTGTTTTTAAATTTTCAAACAATAGGTGGGCACAAAATAAGCATACTATCACTAAAAAAAAATACAGTTTCAACAAAAATATGTCATATTTCATACCAAGTATACCAGGACTTCATTTTGTTATGGCATATAATATTCATATGTAATTATAATACAGTAAGAGGTTTTCTGTAAAGTAGGTAGGACATATACTCAACTGGGTTTGCGACTTTGTCCACGTGTTCCTGTTTCATCCCATGGGAGCATTTAATCGGGATATAAAATATAATATTACCTAAGTCAACCTTTACCCTGCCTGTGTACCAAATGTCATCAAAATCCGTTCAATAGTTTCAACGTAATTGACGAACAAAGACAAACTTTCATATTAATTATAATATTATTATGATAATATCTATCAATTGAAGTATTTTTTTAGTTTAATTAAAATAGTAGGTACCTAAGCAATATATTTTCTTTTAATTTATCAATACAAATTAACAGTTCGTGATTGAATTTGTGTATGGAAATTATGCATACAATCGCATTGAGAAGTTCAAATGGACAAAAGAAAAGCCATATGGCATAAGTTCGCCTTATGTGCCATAATAAAATTGTGTACATAAAAGAATAAATAAATAAATTCTTCATTTATTTGCTCTAAGAATTATTGAGATTAAAAAAAATCAGTAGTAGCACGGAGTTTGGAAATGTGCCCGGTATATGGCAATAGGCTCACCCCCTATTACACAGGACTCATAACATAAATAGTGAAAAGTGGGTGTTACTTCAGTGTGCACCTCTGCCCACCCCTTCGGGAATAAAAGGCGTCATGTTATGTTATTTGCTCCCTCCATGATAAGTTTTTAAACCGTCGCATAAGCATATAATGAAAGCGCGGCGGCACGCACTTGTTTAAAAAAACAACATTACATCATTTTTTTATTATTTCTGTCAAATGATTCTCAAGTATGTGCTCTTTTTTTGATATATCCTTATTGATCTGCAACAGTTTTGATAATTTCGTCGATTATATTTAGATTAATTAAGTCATGTGATAACGTATAATACATTTATATTACCACCCGCCCATCCAATGGGTGTCGGAAAAGTCGACACCCATTTGAATTTTATCGATAACTGTTTCACCCTGACATAATGGGTGAAAAGGTTTTTAACCATAAATGAATCGTCAAACCACCAGCGGTATAATCCAATGGGGACATGGGTCGCGCCTCCAAAGAATCAAATAACATATTACATTACTATTTAACATGAATTTTGTAACTATTGTTACCCGACTGCGCGATATGAATGTAATATGTTATTTGATTCTTTGGAGGCGCGACCCATGTCCCCATTGGATTATACCGCTGGTGGTTTGACGATTCATTTATGGTTAAAAACCTTTTCACCCATTATGTCAGGGTGAAACAGTTATCGATAAAATTCAAATGGGTGTCGACTTTTCCGACACCCATTGGATGGGCGGGTGGTAATATAAATGTATTATACGTTATCACATGACTTAATTAATCTAAATATAATCGACGAAATTATCAAAACTGTTGCAGATCAATAAGGATATATCAAAAAAGAGCACATACTTGAGAATCATTTGACAGAAATAATAAAAAAATGATGTAATGTTGTTTTTTTAAACAAGTGCGTGCCGCCGCGCTTTCATTATATGCTTATGCGACGGTTTAAAAACTTATCATGGAGGGAGCAAATAACATAACATGACGCCTTTTATTTCCGAAAGGGTGGGCAGAGGTGCACACTGAAGTAACACCCACTTTTCACTATTTATGTTATGAGTCCTGTGTAATAGGGGGTGAGCCTATTGCCATATACCGGGCACATTTCCAAACTCCGTGCTACTACTGATTTTTTTTAATCTCAATAATTCTTAGAGCAAATAAATGAAGAATTTATTTATTTATTCTTTTATGTACACAATTTTATTATGGCACATAAGGCGAACTTATGCCATATGGCTTTTCTTTTGTCCATTTGAACTTCTCAATGCGATTGTATGCATAATTTCCATACACAAATTCAATCACGAACTGTTAATTTGTATTGATAAATTAAAAGAAAATATATTGCTTAGGTACCTACTATTTTAATTAAACTAAAAAAATACTTCAATTGATAGATATTATCATAATAATATTATAATTAATATGAAAGTTTGTCTTTGTTCGTCAATTACGTTGAAACTATTGAACGGATTTTGATGACATTTGGTACACAGGCAGGGTAAAGACATAATATCTTCTGATTCACTTAGTTGCGGGAACCAAGACAGTTATTCGTGTCCCTGGGACGCGCCTAATTTCAGTGTTTCGGTGTTTTCATGGTTATATCTACTGTAGATCTTGGCTTACAGGAGTTGCTGCGGTTTCGGGAGGTTGTGGCAGGCTTGTCCCATAAAAAAATATCCAATGCAGTGGCCAAATAACACCGCGCGCATCAAGACCGTGCTCGTAAAGAACTCAATATCATCATAACTTGTTAAATACATACAGGATACTAATGAAACTTGACATACATTGCAAGGCAGTTACAAGCTTTAAAATTACGTTTAAAATAAGTCTTTTGAGCTCTTATTGAGAGTGCTGGGACGGATTGAAGTGTTTTTCTATTTAATGAAGTAACCTTTGAGCTATGCATTATTTTGTTTTTTTTTATTGCAGAACAAATTTAAACTAATTCCTAAGAAGCCATGTACAAAATATGATAAGAATCCGCTTAACCATATCAAAGATCTTGCAAAACCACAAATGTTACCCCAGCAAAATCTCGAATAACTTCGCAGCCAATGAAAGAACAAATACAAAATAAGTTACAATGTTTACTTCATCTAGACAACTAATTTTATAGCTAGTAATTATTTAAATATTCCCATTAGAAAGAAAAATGTCTGGCTGGGGTAACGTTACCCCAGCAGGAAATATTTTTGTGAAATATTTAAAAAACTATCAGCGCAACAAATTTAAAAATGTAGGCAACAATTACAGAAGCTGCAAAACTAATTATCTATAAGATTCAAATGACCATTTTCGACAACATCTGGCCAGGGTAACGCACACGTTAGGTTTTCTGATTTCATACGAAGTTCTTCCCTACAGTGTAGATTAACTAACAATAATTATAGTTAGTTGGCGAGTCTCCGCCTGCCATTTTTACAAGTAATAATTGTTTTCACATTGTTTCGGCAGGTGCCATAGTCTAGCTTACAGGAGTTGCAGCGGTTTTAGGAGGTTGTAGCGAACTTGTCCCTTTAAAAAAAGGTACCTTAGTCATCCAATTTACCAGTCCACAGCAACCCATCCATAACCCTACATTTCTTTTTCCATTATCCACAATAGTATACACTAACCGGGGACTGTCCCTGGGTACATTTCCATAGTGCATACAAGGATAGTCGCCGATCTATGTGTCTATTACATTTAGATAAAGCTGTCTAAAGGGCCTCTGCGCAGTTGGCTTCGGCCCCTTTTACGCCACCCAAATGACCGTGAATAGTAAAGACATTACAGTTTTGTTGCGTTTAATATAAAACGAGTGGTAGTGATAAATTGTTCATACCAGATATTAATTACAAACATTTTCTTAGGAACCCTGAAGTTTAGTATAAACTATTTAAGTTTAACGTGACCTAAGTGGTAAAAATTTTTGCTATATACAACAAAGAATTTGTATTTCTCTAGCAATTCTATACCGACACTAAACGAAAAATTTCATAAATTAAAAATCTCATTTACACAACTGCCTTATTTATTATTCTTTGTATTAAAATAATCTGTTATGAGTTTCTTAGGCGTGCTCCTTTTGCGTTCAGGTGTTGATTGGCTTTCGCTAACCTTTGCTGGTTTTGTGTCGCTTAGTAATGAGAACCTTTTATTTGATGCAAGTGATGTATGTTGTTCATGTTTGTTATCTTCTTCCATTATTGTGACCGCGTCTAGTAAAGACATTTTCTTTGTATCTGCAGTAGGTGGGGATTTCGATGATTCTTTATGTTCAATGTGTTGGTCAACTTGTTGGTCTATTTGCAGGGTGATTTGTTGCTCAATCTGTTGCTCTGTTAGATGATTCGTTGGCTGTACAGTTTTTACTTGTTGAGTGGTGTTGGTTTTTGGTTTTTTAAACATGTTTGTGGTTTCTTGTTTGGTGTCTGTTTTGTTGGCTATCCTTTCTGATTGTATTGCCACTTCCAGTAAACTTTGGTCCATTTCATCTTGAGAGAATAAGTCTGGGGAATTGTCTGTTGATTCATCATCGATGACTACTGTAACTGGTGTCGATTCGGTGACGCTCTGAAATGTATGACAAGGAAACTTGTTAAATGTTAAATTACTATAATTATATTAACCATAAATCAAGCAGAATTTAGAACTTGTTCACTTGTTTCACTTGTTTCACTTGGCAACACAGTTCAAATTGGTTAATTAGGTATTTATGCTCAAGTAAAAAGTGTCTTACTGTCTTATAGTTAACTAGCAACCCGCCCCGGCTTTGCACGGGTGCAATATGTATATATATACAAAGCTTCCTTAAGAATCACTCTATCTATTAAAAAAAACCGCATCAAAATCCGTTGCGTAGTTTTAAAGATCTAAGCATACATACGGACATACAGCGAAAGCGACTTTGTTTTATACTATGTATTGACTAAAAGTCGCGGGTTACTCACGTAAATATACTGAGAAAAGCTCTACTACTTTCGAACCACAGAGGGGCTCTTCCTCATGTGCGTGGTCGCCACGACGTCCCGCAGCCTATGTGATGTCAGTAGGCGCAACTAGTAAAGCTTTTTTCAGTATATTCACATGAGTAACTCGCTATTCTTAGTTAATTTCACGACAGTTATTATAAAAATGTATCTTACAGTGTCCATCATGTTATCGCTGGAGTTCTGTGATGATTCATTGTTCTCCTTTAGGACTTTTTCCAAATACGTGTAGAATCGTGTAAGTAGTACATTGTTTTCTTGAGCAAACCTCACTAAGTACCTGTACAGTTGACCTGCAACACAAACATAACATCGGTGATTTAGTGAATTTACTGAAGAAATGGCATTTGTTCAAATAAATCTTATACTATAATCAATAGTAGTCACCGTGATAGAATTAAGATTTTCGCGGCACTAGAGACAGTATAGCTTATGGTATGTTGACCAAATGAATATTCGATAATATGAGTTATTGGTTAGTAAAATGGGCTAAGCCAAATTGGTTGGACATGAAGAACCCTTATGTTTTACCAGGACCACTTTGTAAGCATAAAATTAAATCATTTGATCCACTTTTACACATGTATTTTCAAAGACTGAATGTATTTTCATGGAATTGGGTACTTTCCTTAAAAAAAATCGATATACAATAAAATATTAAAAAATAATCACACTTTCATTAATTGATTTTATGACCAAGTTAATATTAGTATTTTTCCAGGATGTTTTTAAGAAATAAGTATGTTATTTGACGCTAAAAAACGTGACGTCACAATATCATGCAAGATTCATAGAAAACTCGTTTTTGACAGTTCGAAAAAAGTATTGAATTTGTCTAGTTAGCAAATACCCAATTGAGAATCCACCTCGAAGGTGGTAAATAACCATGAACCAAACACCAAAACCCGTCAAAAAATACCTCAAAACAACTCACCAACAGTCACATTGTGTCGTGCTAACAAGTTATACATGTTAGCGATGTCATCCCTGAGCTGAGTGTCCCCGAACGTGTAGTAGGCCATAGGCCGGCGGGCCTCTGCGCACGCCATGAGTTGTACGAGGCTCTTCAGGTGCGGCGTGCCTCCGAACGCTCCGCAGCCCCAGTTGCCGGTGGCCACGCCGGGGTACTGGAGCCGGTCGGAGTAACTGTCTATATCGAATGATATGCCCACCCACGCCTAGGAACAACGGAGTATGTTAATTCAATATTGATTTAGATTACACAATGTTTTTTTTTTTTCATTTATAGTCTTTCGTGATCTTTTTTTTAATGTTATCCCACTCTAGGATTGTCTCCTGTGTCATGAGTGCGTTTACAAACATACAAGGACCGAAAATAACAATTTATGGATCACACAAAGTATTGCTCCGTGCGGGAATTGAACTCGCTACACGTTGCGCGGCAGCCATTTGCAGCCACCGCGCTAATCATGCAGTCGTTCTATATTATTGCTAACAATTTGAAATCTTGTTTTTGTAACTAGCACATATTAAATTGTATGTATGCATTTAAATAAACCGATTGATAAGGTAAATTGATGAGGAGAAAGAAAAAACGAATAGAGTGAAGATGTCAGCGTGGACATAAAGAATTTGTGATCCGTAGCCACAAATTACCGAGTGAAATCAAAACCAATTTAATTTCACTCGGTAACTTGTAAATTGCTTTAGTGTGCGTTACCCAGGCCAGATGTTGTCGAAAATGGTCATTTGAATCTTATAGATAATTCGTTTTATGGCTTCTGTAATACTGCGCACATTTTTAAAATTGTTGCGTTTATAGTTTTTTTAATTATTTCTCAAAAACATTTCCTGCTGGGGTAACGTTACCCCAGGCAGACCTTTTTCTTTCTAATGGGAATAATTAAATAATTACCAGCTATAAAATTAGTTGTCTAGATAAAGTAAATGTTGTGCCTTATTTTGTATTTGTTCTTTCATCGGTTGCGAAGTTATTCGAGATTTTGCTGGGGTAACGTTTTTGGTTTTGCTGGCCTAGGAACAACATCTGGCCTGGGTAACGCACACAGTGCTTTAGAGGATTGTATTATGCAATTTTATAGACATTATGCAGCACTGATGGTAAGATGAGGAGAATAACCGACGTTCACAACGCTTCATGATACGCTCGAGGTCGCCCGGGTCGGGCAAAGTATACCTGGGATTTTTAAAAATTCTCAATAGTAGCACGGAGTCTGGAATTGTGCCCGGTATATAGCAATAGGCTAGCCCCCTATTACATGGGACTCATAACATAAATAGTAGAAAGTGGGTATTATATTATAGTGGCATTAAGTGCCGTAGATAACGTGCACCTCTGCCTACCCCTTCGGTGATAAAAGGCGTGATGTTATGTTCTAGTAGAACTCACCTTGTTAAGCTCTCTAGTGATAGCTTCTCTGCGGAATTCTTGCGCTAGACTATTGTATGGCACTGCATCAATGGCCAGTACAGCACAGCGTCGTCGTCCCGAGGAGTCGCGCGGCGTGTTGTCTTTGTGGTCGCCTGCGAACTGGAAACTGTGACCGTAGCCCACGTATTTGCTGTAGCGTTCCACTCCTGAGGTGTTAACATAGATATAGGTAATAATCTTCAAAACTTGCACAATCATGATTTATTCATCAACCAGCATCAAGAACATCACCATCGCGAACTTCATTATAATCACAATCATGATATCATCATCATCGACTTCTAGAATTCGCTTGCATTATTTTCTGCTGGACTGGCAGAGTAAACTACTAAAGTCACAAACATGATTTCCACGCTATTTAAATCTCCGAAAAGTGAACAGGTGAGTAAATGTTCATATTATAATAATTGACATTGCTTGGTAGACACATTATTCTTGATTTAAATGAAAGTCCATAGTTGAGAATAATAATTTGTATACTAAAATAATAAACTAACGTAAAATGGATTTAGTGAACCGTATGAGCATGAGTGCTAACGCGAATTATGAGAACGCACGCCGAGACTTGATTGCTCGATACGAACTGAATTGAATAATTAGTTAAATGAATTATGATGCGTAAAAATGCTGACTTGAAATGTGTGCGGTTGCACCGTACATTGCCCATTTACACGAACTTGACACAATCATTTGATAGCCTCAGTTAAAACTATGTACTGCTCATTGAGACTACATATAATACTTAATAATAATAGAATACATACCAATAATCATAAGAGCTTCGTTGGGCCTCATGACTTCAGTGAACAACATGGATATCATCAGCTCTGGACATATCACGAACCGAATCTCTTCCTGTACACAACCATGACCTAACACACCACCGCCAAGAAACCTGAAATAGATATATTCAAGTAAAATGGATTCTAAAAATATGTTAATATAGTTCATTCTTGAATAGCTGTTATGCAAAATGGATTATACTTAGAATCTAATATTATACTGAAATGGAATTGAAAGAACTATTTTGTGAAGCAAAATAATTGAAACCTTTTTATATGTACCAAAGGACTGACAATGATTACATCGTCCATTATTTTTACACATGCATATTAATTCTTCTAACACATAGGAGTGTTATCTGCTATTGTATATTGTATAGCAGATTCTAATTAACATTAATATTGTACCCAACTATTGTACGCCCTATGGGCAGGACACAGCTGAGCTCAACCAAATTATGATAACAACTGTATTATGTATCTACCTGTGATCTACAATGAATAAATGAATTTGAATTTGAATAATTATATTAGACTAATTTCAATTACTCCATTATAGACGTTATTTCCGATATTTAGAAACGACTTTTGTATGAACATATGTTGTGGATATTTCATAATCGGGGATAATATAGTTAAGTCTGAATCTTCTATACCAAAATTACACAAAATCGTGTAATAACTATCGTGAGATATGCTAAATTAATTAAACATACCAGTTTTTCTAAGTTCTTTCGCGTGAGTAAGCTATTACTTTCAATTCTATTTAACTTGTAGTTGGGTTTTTACAACATAAAAAAGATCCTCTTACTTGTTAGCAAAATCGATCTGTATCAGCGAATCAGCATCTTCAATAGTGCTGAGCGGTTCCACATGTAATGGTATGGATCCTAGTGGTCTGGTAGACTTGGGCCACGATGGACAGTCGCGCGGCGGCACCGAGCGACGGCTGAACGTCAGCGTACCGACCGGGACTGTACTGCAAACATTATGAGATTAACGGGGAACATATTTGTAGGGCACAATTAAGTATTGAAAGTGAAATGCTACGTTTTTAAACGTGTTTTGCAAAATAGTTTATTTGCATCCCCTATTAAAAGGAATTTATACAAAACTGGTAACCGCTACCCCTCTTTCTGTGGCGTAAAAAACCTTAAAAGGAAGTTTTCGCATACATCTGTTCATCAAAATGTTGTAAACAGTAGTATGGAAGCACCTTTATAAATAAATAATCCATGACTGCTTATCAAACTTGCATTACTAGGTAAAATGATCCTTATGTCACAGTATTACAGATATTAATAGAATAGATGACACTCTTGCACCAATTTTTGTGCATTTTTCTACAAGAAATATTATAGTAAATGAGTTAGATATTTAACAGAATGTCACCTTTAGTCACCACTCTTCTGAAATAATGACAGATACATTTCAGTTTCTCCAAGTTAGCATCTGAGTTAGAAGACTCGTAGAGACCAGACCTGAAAGAATGAAAACAAACTATAACAATATTTTCTTTAAAAAAAACCTCATTACAGATAGGTAATAAAAAATTACTACTATGGTGCTTAAAACTTACGAGTTGAAATTAATGAAAGGATATGAAGCATATTCAGAAGTCTTCTTAGTGGCGTTCCTTCTTGGAAATGTGCAGAAGAATGCATTGGCAAGGAGACTTGCTACCTGTTGCTGGGAGAGAGACACTGAGAAGTTCTTGTGTTGCCTGGAAAAAAATACACATATTACAGTTTATAAGTACGTATGTAAATGAGGCTCTCTGTTCTTAATTTAAATTTATAGCACATTTAATTCTTACGCTATCTGTGGACAGTAAGCCTATACTACTCAATGATTGTGTGTGAAAAATTTTGGCGATAACATTTCACTAATTATTATTAAAATAATAGGAATTGAAGCAATAGCTTTTAATGTTATTTTTCTTTTTACAGGTTATTAATTCACTTAATAACAGTGATTTGTATGTTGAAATAAGTTGTTTATAGAAAGGTAACTATATTTCTCTTTTTACAGAGCAATACCATAAGCAGTTGTTTTAATAGTAACTAATGGATTACATGTATTGAAGAAGACAATAATGAAATATAACAATGATAAAGTTAAATAGATTTTAAACTCTATTACAATAAAACAAGGTTGAAAACCTAATATACAAATACACTACTCAGCAACTGAATTTTGTTGTTATCAACATCAACTACCTAGTAGCAAAATGACGTCAGATATGAATGACAGATATGAATAGCGGCCATCCCATTTTCAGATAAGATAAAAAGATTATGTTCATATGTTGTCAATAAACTCACAAATTTACCTATAAAACCATTTAAACCAAGGATACACTTTGGGACAAATGTCCTGACACGTGTCGCCAGCAACGTTGGGTGAAGTAGCGCGACGTTGCCGTCGACATGTCTGACATCAACGGCACAATGAGTATAAGTTGCGCGTTGTCACTATAAATGTCAGGCGAAATCTGCCGGCTTCGCTCGACATGTCGCGGGACGTTTGTCTTTGGCATTCTTGGCTTGAGTTTGAAATAAAAAAAGATATTGTGAAACTGCAAATAAAAAAACTTACTTGAGTAACGGTATTGGCGCCTGCACCAATTTAGGAAGGTCCAGGGCTAATTTTATAACCTCTGGTAGAGTTACATCAAAGAAGTATTGAGTTTCCTCTTCTTCTAAATACTGTAAAAGAAAAAAAAAACAATAATGAAACATTTTATGTACAACCCACGTGTAACATATTTAGTGTGCCTCTGAACCATAAAAGTACATACTTGGAGTATACATACTTTCCAAAAGTTACTAATTGGACATGGCAGGCAAAGTTGAACACTTTACTTATTTTATTAAGCTTAAATAAAAAGTAAGTACTTATAATTATGATCGGTGGAAGGACATCGATTAACTGTCAGACTCTTACTGACCAAAAACCACCCCGTTCCTACTCCTGCCCTTCGAGCCGGAGCCCCGGCAACCTGTTAAGTCCTCTACGGCTTTGTATCGGCATCAGCCCTGTTGGGCCCAATCTGTGGTGGTCTGATGGCTCTTTGGAAGCACGCGGAACGCAACGCGCCGTACATTAACTATGCTCACACTAAGATTATAAATGTGAATGTTTCTTTATTTGCATGTGTGTCCATCAATTGGCTAGGTGTGCGTTACCCAGGCCAGATGTTGTCGAAAATGGAAAAAAATCATTTGAAACCTATAGATAAATAGTTGTGCGGCCTCTGTAATTGTTGCGCACATTTTTAAATTTGTTGCGAGTTAACTCATCGTAACCCTCTATTTCGATCCCTTTTGATGATATAGCAGCTAGGGCTTTATGCAACTCAGCATTTACTCAATTTACAATTGCATTGTATAATGACATTAGATAGGCAGTCTAATCGCGATCACCAGCTAAATAACATCCTGTATTGACTAATTAATATAATTAAATTGTAATTAATAAATAAATATTTTTTTAATCAAAATCCCGACCGCCGAAACATAACTTGCGCTTATAGTTTTTTAATTATTTTACAAAAACATTTCCTGCTGGGGTAACGTTATCCCAGCCAGTACTTTTTCTTTCTAATGGAAATATTTAAATAATTACTAACTATAAAATTTGTTGTCTAGATGAAGTAAATATTGTGCCTTATTTTGTATTTGTTCTTTCATCGGTTGCGAAGTTATTCGAGATTCTGCTGGGGTAACGTTTTTGGTTTTGCTAGATCTTTGAAATGGTTAAGCGGATTCTTATCATATTTTGTACATGGCTTCTTAG